TTAGGTTAGGGAGAAAATATTCCAGACTGCTTGATTTTTAGTCTATGCTGTTCCTTTGCTAACTTTTTTTATCATTGTTAGAGCCCTTTAAGCGACTGCTGGAGACAAGGCAAACAGAGGAATATATACTAAAAAGTGTTCTATAAAGACTGTGCGTTTAAGTCCCAGTGGAGGCTGACGCTCCAGCCTACTTACTGTAGCTAGAATGTATTGATTTTTTTCTCCCCCATTTTTAGCTGCACCACTGAATTAGATATTGTGAAGCATCTTTCCTTGTGAAGAGAGGAAAAACTGTCATGAACTTTTTCACCCTAACAATAGGGCATTTCAGACAAAAAGATTGCAAAAAGGATTTAAACCTTCAAAAACATAGCCTCTGAGTGCATACAACACAACAGTGATTGTTCTGGCCAAAAGATAGCCGTGAGTGCTGAAGTTCTTGGGTTGGATGACTAGAGAAGTGGGGGATGAATTTTTAGAGCTGTTTTGTGTGCTAAAAAAATCAATCAGTGAAAACAATGCAATCCTCTAGTGCGCTCTCAGAAGGTTAGCAAAACGGTCTTGTCCAAGTTTTCAGCGAGCTGTTCAGTTACTGTTATAATTGGCTGATGAGTAGGTTTGGACCTAACTAGAATGCCAGGGTTCGATTTCATAGTGTCCTCTGTGAAGATGTGTCACCATTTATACTGGCTTTAGTGACAATTTTTTAAAAGGGAAACTCATGGGAAATCATTATGCTGTTTATATGTCTCCCATCCTGGAGAGCATTATCCTGTGATATTATAGCACTGTTTTCCACTTCATGATGGCATCTAGCTAAGGTTAAGGCAGAACAAGTCCCTCTGCAATTTTGTGACTATATTTTACTTACTGAAACAGAAAAGATAACTGACAATTAAGGATTTGGGATGTCACTGAGGGAACATGTGCAACTAACCAAGGACACTCTCTAGGGACATGTTTTTATAAAGTTGAGAAAGTAGAAAAAAAGGGATTTTAAGGGGTCGGTTACATAATAGGTTGCCATTCTGAAACAATATTTCCGTAAAAACTTTAACCATTTTAAAAAATCCTTCAAAACAATTAGTGAAGTGTACCAACAATTAGTTCCTCTAAAACATATTACTCAATCATTTAGCTCAATTTCAATTTGATCATGTGAGAGCACTTTATATATTCAGTAGAACAAAGAGGATTTCTACTTTAAGTTCACTTCTGCAGCCCCTGGAAAAAAAACCTTGTACATACAAAAAAGAATATTTTTAACTCGTGTGTGTGCATATAGATAGATAAAATGCATATATTCAATGTATAATATGTAAGTGGGTCTACATTTTAAATCAGGAAAAATACATCTATTTCTAGACTATTAAAAGTTTAGGAAATGTTGACCTGTATATTCTGCCATGTTGCAGGTGGTATGTGGATAGTAAGTTAAATGTCTCTGTCAAAATTCCTCTTGCTTGTGCCAAATGAATTGCCTAAAAGAGCCATAAATAGACATAATTCAATCCCATACCGAAGTAGTCTGAGCTGTACACATATAACTTTGATGGATATTTCATAAAAATCTTGAATGCAAATCTAATGAAATATGTTCTTTGGATCTAACAGCAGCAACAACTAATGTTTAAACAGCTAGCCCATTCCTTGCTTTAGCCAGCTTTTGACATAAAAAATAGAGTGCTTGCTCTATCCAATAGCTAAAAACAGCCTCAAGTTGATAGGATATGTACAAAATAATCCAGATATATTAGCCTTCTGACTATGTAACAAAAGCAATGCATACATTGGGTAGGTTCTAGAGTAGTATTCTGTTTATTTATTTAAAGCTTTTATATCTCACTCTTCACAGGGTCGCAGAGCGGTAATACAATAAAATAAATAAATAAGATATGGTGTTCTATCAGTGATAGTTTTCCTGAGCTGACTTCCACTCCCATCAGTGGAAACTGGGGAGATGATTTTGCTAATTTCTTTTCTGACCTGCAACTCCCTGTGTCTCTTCCCCTCCACTCATTCACATAAACAAACACTATTCCAGATAGTTCTCCAGTTCTTTGTATCACATTTTCCAGGGGTTGCTGGGAGAATGTAAGATCGTGTCCCACATTCTGCTACTGGGATTCCTTTTCTGCATCAGAAACCTTCCATAGACAGAAAGAAACTTTCCTTCCACAGGAGACATATTCTCTCTATATATATATCTTATTGGGTTTATCTTTAGAAAGCAGTACTGGCTGTGTACACATATGTACTAAACAATGGTTAAGTGTTATATTAAAAAGCCTCACGCTTGCAAGCTCTCTCTTCCCACAACTACATAAATTCAGGAACTTTCACTTCCATTTTCAATTAACTAGTCTGTTGTTTTATCCAAACCCACATGGATTGTTTCTAGTCATAAGAAGAACTCATTTAACACAGCAACTGATTTAACACAGGTTTAACACACAGATGGGCAACTCATTGCCCAGCATATTGGAAGGGCAGAACTCCTGTCATGCCTAGTCAATGTAGCCAATTGTAAAAAACTAAGGGTTGCAAAACAAAACAAAACAAAAAAAGCAGACCCATTGCTGGTTTAGTAAAATGAACTAACATCAAGCCAGGTGTTTTAGGGTGTGTTGCTCTAAATCAGGGGTCCTCAAACTTTTTGAATAGGGGGCCAGTAGAAAGGTGCCAGGGATGGGTGCGGGCCGCCAAGGCGGTGCGGGTGGGGGGCGCGGACACAGAAAGGCAGGGGCATGTGTGTGCAGAGATCACTTTCTCCCAACAAGTCCAGAACGATCTCCTTGCGAGCAAGCCGGCACTTCGCCACACACGCGCGCATGCACAGTGAGCTATGGCAGGCTGGATAAATGGGCACGGCAGGCCAGATCCAGCCCACTGGCCCTAGTTTGAGGATGCATGCTCTAAATGGTGATTAAAATTAACCACAGTCCCAGGTTTGGGCATAACAAACCACAGTTAATTGAAAACATATGCTAAAGCATCTAATCTTGCACCCATGTTGGCATAGACTGAAGAGTGAACTGAGCAAAGGGACTCAAGGATGAATCATAGTTCAGTATAATGTCAGAATTAAGTCCCCAAAAAGAGATTATAGCACCAAGCCACATTCCAGTGGCTAAGCAGCCTATAGACCAATACTTTTCCTGACTGTATTAAAATACTGAGCAGCTTTCTCAGTATTTTCTCTCAGTACCTACATCAAGAACTATTAACCCAAACTGTTTTATTTGGGTTAACAGCATATATTGTTATGCAGTTCACATATCCTTTGATTTGCATCCCCCTTCACCCCTCCCTTCATAGGTAACAAATGCAAAGCAAGATGAATTTTGTAGCAGTGGAGTGCTGATTTTACAGAATGCAAATAGAAGAGATATTTAATGCAGAATTCTCATTTAAAGGTGAAGTGAAAGGCTTTGCACCTGCCAGAATCCCAAGGTTTTATGTCTTTACTGTAAGCATTGATGTAATCATGAATATCTACTTCAAGGTTGCCTGCTTCCTCCTTTGTGTTGGTTGGCTGGTTGGCAAACTTTCACATGACTCAGATCAGATCCAGATTAAACCAATAATGTTTCAATGGTGGTGGTTCAACCACAACAAATAACTTTTATTGACCCTTTGGCAGTCAACTGGGAAACAATGGTGGCTTTTCTGAAGAATGATCTACTGTACCCCCATCCATTTTCCTTACTGCCATCTTGATCTAATAGATGCTCAAGGTTATCTGCTTTTCCTGGAGAAATGGAAATATCCTGATTTCAGCTCAAAAAAGATGACTAAAGAGCAAGGTCATAAATCACAAAAGCAGGATTCATGGGTTTCACCTTTTTTCTTCCTTTCCAATACTTTTAGATGCACTTCTCTAGAATATACTTTTCTGACACTTGCTGTTTTAATGCTGTGATCAAAGTAATATCAGGCAAAAGTATTATGAGTATTTGGTTACGGTACAGGCTGAATACCTACCAATTGGATTAAAGGATCTACTAGGTGTTGATGTAGCAGCTTCAGTAAGCTGTATCAGACAGGACTATGTCCCACTGCTACCCCTTGCATTTATTTTCCCATCTAAAATCATTGTGAAGTTGCTTTCACATGTATGTTTTAAAATTATCCAGTTTCATGACCATACATCTGGATAAAATGGGATTAACTTGGTATGATAAGATTTCAAAGATTTTGTTTTGTTTTTTCCTTGGAAAGATTATGTACTTTATTAACAGTCTACTCTGAAAGCTCACAATTCTAGGTGGCAAATCTTTAGAAGCCATATTGTTGTGATTTCGGTGTGTATTTTTATGAATATTTTATTAACCTTTTTTCCAAAGAGCTGGTGGAGATTTTCCATCTTGTCTTCATAGCGTGAGAGTGAGCTTCTTGGCTAGATGAAATTTAAACCCAGAAGATCAATCTCCAGCCTTCTCTCTAGAACAATATACTTCCTCATTCTTGAAGTTATGTTGCTAAAAGGAAATGCTAGCTTTTGATTGTATCATGGAAATGTCTTTGTTTTCTTTATATTCTAAAAGTAGAAGACCTTGGTGAATGAGTGCTCATACTACTGTATTCTAATTTGTACTAAATCTGTTGCTAATTAGTAGCTTTTTAATAAAACGATTATAGTTAATGCCTTCAGAAGTTAGTTACGCAGAGAACCTGTAGTGCTGCTTTATAGAACTTTGGTCAGGTCACTATCAGTTTATAGATGAAACAGTGCATTGTAAGCTGATCTGTCAAGCCAAACACTTGCTTCATCTTGTTAGCATGTGCTAAATCTTTCGTTAATGAAACCAGCTAGTCCCCCAGACACTCAGGAGAGGCTTCCTTTTCCATGTTGCCATGATGGATGAGAGCACTTCAGATGCTGGAAATGAAGTGGTTTTAAAGAGAGCCTTCAAATGCCCCCACAGCCTTTATTTTAATAGTGATCACAGCATAACTCATTTTATCCATTGTCTTGATCAGCATTTTCTTTATTACAGAATATTATTGTAGAAAATGAAGAGCTTCCTAAAATATTTCTTGATTTCCTCAATGTTCGGCATTTTCCATCTCTCCCCAAAGCAGAAAGTTGTGGGTAAGATTTCTACTTAATAATATTTAAATGCAACATATAAATCACTTTGGTCAAGTCCCACAGGGATGAACTAGTTCAACTCCCAGTGTCTCATAATCAACCACAAGAGTAATTCCTTATAATAATCAAAAATGGTCAATAAAGGCTTGGATAATCCAAATGGTTCTATTTGCACATGAACCAAGGAACTACTCCACACTTATGTTTGGGTATTGCCATGGCTATGTGGACTTCATGGAACAAGAAGCACTTAACATGAAATGCTCCAAATTGTCCCGACTCAACTTTTTCTCTTGAGCATGGGAGCTCTGCTGTGTCAAAATGTCTCATATCTATGCATATCTGGCTAAGCACATGCCAAAGATCTTTGGATGTGTTTGAGAAGATGAGAAGGAAAGACATAAAACATGTTACCACAGAAATAGTTTCAGATAGCATTAAATAGTTTGGATACCATTAAAAGTAAAAGAATTGTGAATGTAAATATTTTTAGAAATGAACTCTTATATTGAATGCAGTTAGACTACATTGTTTAGACCAGCTGTTCCCAAATAGTGTTCTGCAGAACCCTAGGAGTCTGCAAAAGCCTTGTAGGAATTCCACGAAAAATATCAAATCAAATTGAAAATGGAATTTACAATGAAATCGCATGGGGCCAACTGTTCAATTGTCAGTTAATCATGTCATTTGGTTCCTAGGACTGTATTACGTAGTGTTGGGAATAATTGAAAGAATTCATTTGGGGTATTACCATATAATACTCCAAATGATATATTCATTATATTTAAAATGTTTTCTCTTTATTTCCAAACCTACTATATTATGCAAAGCACTCAGGCAATAGGTGCAAATGAAAGAAGGAAGAGCATTGTGGGTTCACAATACTTAATAAAAATCAAGGATGAAGTTAGGTTTCCATGGAGAAAAAAATGTCTTCAGAAAGGTTCCATGACCAAAAAAGTTTGGGAACCACTGGTTTAGACAACTTGCTACAAGAAAGCATTCTTGGAAGTGCATGCTATGACAACATGACATCTGATATTCTAAGTAAAGACACTGACCAACTTCATTTCTTTTGTTGTTGCTGTGGTTTAATACAAGGATGGGCAGACCTTGGATGTGCAGTGTCCACTTTTTACGAGAACCCCCGTGATCTTCCATCCAGAGCAAGGTGCAAAACACTTGGTCAGTCAGAAGGACATATATTCTGAATTAAGGAAAAGCATGCATCTTGACCACCTTCCCTGCCCAGGAATTTGCAATCTGTATCAGAACCAAGCACAGAAATTATTTCATGCAAAGATTCATTTGCAGTTTACTTCCAAGTATTTTTTTCCAGAAGCCTATTGGGAAGAGAAAAATACATAGTGTAGTTGCAGAATGGGGAGCCAGAAACCTTTGCCTAATTACCCAGAGTTTTACAAATAGATTTCAGTCTACCTTCAGTTTAACCTTGGTTTGTTTTTGTTCATCCATTATAACCTATTTTGTATACATTATAATATTTCAGCTCGTTTGAAGAAACAGAATCTGAAGAATCAAGGTAAACAGTTCTACAATTATGTGTGTTGTAGATATTATATGTGAGAATGGAGAATAGTTGAGAAAGCTTTAAAAGCTATATGTATCAAACTTTATAGCAAAATAAACTGTGGTTGTATTTGTAATTTAACACTTCTGACTTCATTTTCTGTGTCAAGGTGTATACAGTAGTCCCCCAAAATTCACAGGGGTTGCGTTCCTAGAGCACCCATGAATTATGAAAAACAGTGAATTTGGTGCCGGCAATGGGTGCGGGCCACCAAGTCGGTGCGGCCGGGGGGGCATGGGCCAGGCCGGGGGGCAGGAACACACGCATGGCAGCGGCAGCATGTGCAGAGATTGTTTTCTCCGAGCCAATCCAAACCAATCTCCTTGCAAGCAAGCTGCCACCACAGAAAATTCCGTGAAAGACTGAGGCCGCAAACGCTGAACCACGACTTCACGGGGGTATAGTGTATGGTCTTAATCACTGTGTACTGGCACAGTGCATTTGTACATTTCACTTTTAATATCAGCACATTCAAGCCAAATTCAGTCACTTTAGTTATTTTTGATTTGATTGAAGTCAGTAGGTTGGATCTAGACTTAGTCATGCTCAGAGTGGCCCCATAAGAATGGGACAAGTTAGTCTGTTGATTTCAGTGAGTCTATAGGTGTGCTTAAATTCTTCTTTTCCAAGTGACTTTGAATGTTCTGTGGCTACCAAGCATGCTCAGTCCTCGTAGGGCTGTTGGGGGTGGGGGTGCACCGTTGGGGAAAGATGGTCACTTTTGCAAACTTCAAGCTTTTGTGGGAAAGCATGTTGATACTTTTGTCTTGTTTCCAGTGGGCTCTGCTTTGGCTCCATTTCTATTGTCACTCATTACTATTAGATGGGACAATTTTAATACTTTTATCCAGTTCTCACTGGAGAAGAGCCTAATTCTGGGAACAATTGACAGCAAAGGAAGGGGGACGGCAGAGAATGAGGTGGCTAGATGGAGTCACTGAAGCAGTCGGCATGAGCTTAAGTGGACTCTGGGGGATGGTGAAGGACAGGAAGGCCTGGAGGAATGTTGTCCATGGGGTCGCGATGGGTCGGACACGACTTTGCCACTAACAACAACAACATTTTTCATTTAATTCATTAAAGTGTTACACAAATAAGTTTTGTATCATGTTTAGCTTGAAGTTCCCCTTTGCTTTGTCAGCATTTGCACTGTTATTCATTCTTTAATCCAAAAGCTATCTTCCCACAAAATGTATGCTAGACGTTGTCATCTTAAGCTTCTCTGGAGATCCAGCATGGCAACTACATGATGAAAATCTCTTATGTCTATATTTGGAAAAATTTAAAGTTCATTGAGTTTTTTAAAAATCTTTTCAAACATGTAGGATGTGATCTAAACAGTAGAAAGTCCTACAACTGGCAGGGGAAGTGCTATTTTTGTTTAAACATGCATAGGCTTGCACCCACAGGGATAGGAGCAGCTATCCCGTGCACACTTTCCTGGGAGTAAGCCCCATTCACTACTCAATGGGACTTACTTTTCAGTGGATACATAGGCTTCATGATTAATTGCTGATTAGCAAAATTAGTTGTTGAAAGCTTATTCCTATGGGAGTAAGTTCCACTGAACACAATAGGAATTATTTCTCAATAAACATGAAGGTAAGTTTAGTGTACTCTGTATCCCTATTGCTATAAATAAGTGGACAAGCAGCTTTCCTGCTGCTTATATACATATTTTGTGTAATTGAAGAAAAAAGATTAAAAATAAAATTATGCAATATTAAATTGACTGAAATACTCAAAGCAGTTTAGCATCTGAAACAAATTAATGCTGAAGTCTTAAGAAGAAAGAGCATTGGCTGTTGCTAACAGCTGCAGTCTTTAACTGCTTGCTTTTGCAACTGAATTATTGCGAAGAAAGCTGCATAAAAGCTCTGGTCATCCCAGTGTTAAATTCACCCTACTAGGGAGTAAGTCCCATTGAACTCAGCTGGATTTACTTCTGAGTAAGCATGTTTGCTATCCTGGTATACATGACTTTTTAACAGGTGAGTTTTATTCCTTTCACATGGATTTTCTCCTTTTCTATAAACCTGGCTTTAGCTAACCAGCCACATCATCTCACTTGATCAAAGCTAGTTTGTAGTATATTCAGTTTACTATCCCTTGATGCTGACATTCCTGTTCTTGACCTTTCCAGCAAACTGTCCCACCAGCCTGTGCTGCTGTTCCTAAGGGATCCATATGTCTTGCAAGGAGCCAATGGTAATCAAACCTGTCATCTATTAACAGCTCTTTACTGATCAGAACCTACACCACAAAAACCACATTCTTATTATTGCATGCTGATCCCATTTCTAATAATTTGGAAATGTATCAGGAGTTAATATTTAAAATCTATTTAAAATAATGACTGGGAATTGAGGCTATCATGAAGAGAAAGCTTCCATATAAAAATAAGCTAATTTTAAAATACTGATGTTCTATTTCTAGATATGGCTAGTCACCATCAATTCTAAAGGAATCTAAGTTCCTAGTATTATATTATTTGCCTAGTGATCTTTTAACATGTTTTACAAAAACAAAAATCACCCAGTAGATGAATATAAAGTACTTGTATCCATTTATTCATGTTTTTTAATTTAAGAATGAAAGTGCCTTCTGTAACTGCTAGTTGTTAACTCTGCCATTTTAAAATGCCCACTTTTCCATAATATTCCACTCTTTATTTTTCCTATATCCATTTTCTGTGCAGAACTAGGTGACCCTGACTATGTCAAACTATATGTAATACAGGAAGTACATGATTAAAATTCCTAGCATCCTTTCCTTTTACAAAAAGCATCTGCTGCAAAGTCTGCAACCTTTTTACTCCCTTGCTAATTTCCTAACTGATTTTTATTTGTTATATTTGTATACTGACCAATAGCTGAGGTTCTCTGGGTTTACAAAACTTAAAACCCCAAATTACATTAGATACACTATAAAAATTAGAAGTTAAAACTATAGTATAAAATAGAAGTAAAAAAGCAAGACCTTGTATCAAAGCAAAGATTTAAAATATGATAAAGAGAAACCAAAAGACTAAAAAAAAAAAGGGGGGGGAAAGGAAGGTCTTCACCTGGCATCAGAAAGAACACAAGGTAGGCACATGATGAGCCTCTCTGGGAAGCTCATTCTATAGCTGGGTGCCACAGCAGAAAAGGCTCTCTTAGATGTCTTCCATTCACTTCCTTTAACAGGGATTCCCAAAGGTGTATTTGAGAGGATGAGGGTCCAGGCAAATGAATGTGAGAAGGGGACAATCTTCAAGTTAACCTGGCCTCAAGCTGCTTAGGGCTTTAAAATGTTAAAACTATCCCATAAGTCATTATTAATAATGGAGGATTGTGATTCCTCCAGGGAGTCTCTTGTAAATTAAGAGACCAGGAGTTCTAGTCATCTCTGCATCACTTAGCAGGGCAAAATTAATCAGCAAGTCAGAATATTTTTATTTTAGTATTTCAGTAGAAAAATATTAAACAAGTATTTAGCTGAGTTATTTTCTCAGATTTTTTAAAGCTTGTAAGCTTTCAATATAGTTTAGCTAAATTTTTTACACATTGGGGGTTTGCATAAAGTAAGCACTATTCTTCTAAGAGAAAATAAAGTCCAGAATAATATAAGTTCCTGCCATTCTCAAAATGTCTCTTTCCAGATGTCTTAAACTAACAGTTTCTATAATAGCCATGCTGGGCAGGGATTATGAAAATTGTAGTCCAGCACATCTGAAAAGAGCCAGTTTGGGTAAAACTGACCTCTCCTAATTTGGAATAGTTCCGTATCACTGTATGTCTAATTCTGCACTGCAGCATTTTTAATTAATTGGTTTCATTTTTGCTTTTGCAAAATCCAAATCTTCAATACATTTTGCTCACTCTTGCAGGGGCTCAGTGTATACTGTTCTTTAATATGTTACTCAAACTACCTTGTGTTTCTTTTGGTGGATCAAAGCTAGATGGCCAATGTTGTTAAGTTTGAGCATGCAAATCACCCACTGGATTGGCTAGTTGGGTATCTGAATACCCCTCCACATTTTCCTCTATCTCCAGTCAGTGAAAGGGATGTTTGTGTACCTTGATTTACTTCTTAAGCAACAGAATACATGTGCTAAGCAGTACATATGCAACCCTCTATTCTTCTCTTGATTTGAGCCATTGACCTGGTCCATATATTGAATCCATAAATTGCTAGAACTATGAGCAAATACATAGTTTTCACCTGTTCACTGTTTCCACCTTTTAGGGAAACAATCCATAATGCCCAGTTCCTGGGTTGTTGATCATGACAGCCAATCACACCACATTGTGTTGTTGAGGGTTAATCAACCCAGAGTTTCAACCCCAGGACAAATCATGGATAAACCTCTGTTTCATTAAATCCTCACCGATGTAGACTGCTATCTTTAGGCAGAAGACAGCAAGTTTGCTTGTGACTCTTAACAATTAATTAACAACCCATGAACTGTCATTACAGGTTAGTCTTTAGCCAAGATCTGTTTTTAGTCAGTGATGTAAGATAAACATTTGTTGTTTAAAATATAATTACAGATACACAGCAATAACAGCTTCTTCAAGTAGTGCACATATTCATCACTACCTTGCATAAAAGTCATTATTCACTACATTGTTGGGAAAACTTCTCTTCAGATAACCAGGATGATACATGGGGCATGCCCATCCTGTTGGTGATCAGGGGAAACCTTAGCACAATATAGGGACTTTCCAGGCACTGAGGCAACCGTCACAGAATTGTGCTCTGGGGGTCCTCATACTTAGCATGTACCGGTTAAATAACTTGGAAAAAACTAGGTGCATTGTGTTCCTTACACTTCTTGTGTTGGATTTGTTTTATAATTAATTATACAGTACTTAGCAGGAAGGACCATACATTACATATATTTTGAATACTGTTGCTTCCATTACTGTGTTCACCTTAATTTGAACTGACAGCTTTAGTAAGAGTTGCCAACTACCCACAAGCGAAGGCAGAGTGCTGCTTTCAAGCCACTTCACATGCCTCATATTTTTATTTTGCATTTTCTTCAATTGAAAAGATGCCAGGAGGTAGTGGATCATTTGGATCAGCTTCAGTGCAGCCAGAAGATTAAGAGGAGCCACTGTTCTGTCTTACCTCTCATTCAGTCCAAGTTCAGTTCACCAAGGATAAATAGTGATTCGCCAGGACAGTGTTTTTCCTATCACAACCTGGTTGGTTAAATTCAAGGGCTTTAATTCAAAACTCCTGAATAGCATCTGTTTTAAAACATGACTTCTGTTGAATGTGCAGGGTTTTCAGTTCAGTGAATAATAATAAAGTATAAGTATTTGCTAACTAAATTACTTCTTTTGTCCCAATATATTTAGTTTATTATTAACTGATGGATGTCAATATTTAAACACAAAACAGAATATACTAATACTTAGTTTCTCTCTCACACAGACATAGTTTTCTTCTCTAGGAGTCTTTTTTTGCTATGAGTATTTAGTTTATTAGTCATTAGCCTTGCTTGGTTTTAGGAATATATCATCCCTTTAGATATGACTTTTTCCAAAGAAACCTGTCCCTTTATCTTGACTAGATGTGCCATTCTAGTGATGCTTGTGTGATGATATAACCCTCTTCCAGACAACTTGGACTAAACAGTGCTGTAAACTACAATGGAAAAACTGCTGTGAAGTATTCCCAGTAGAAATCTTGGAATTCCTTCAAGTGTATTGAGATTTTGTTAGAAATTGAATTGCCAGTGTAATCCATCTTCCTTGTGAGAAAAGATTCAGATAAAGAGCTGGAGCCTAGCAGCATTAAGTATTAGAACATCCCTTTAAATCAATAAGCTACAAATCTGGCAGTGCATTCAAGCAATGCCCAGTGCTACACTAAAGTGGGCTTAGTGCTGAAACAGCATTACTAATAGCACAGTCCTAAGCATAGATAAACATGGTGGTGATGCAATATCCTAAATTACACAGGGCCTTGCCTTGTTAAGTTCTACAAAAACATTTATACTGTATTGACATATGTAAGAAAGCAGTTTTTCTCCTCTCCTTTTTTTTCCAGATGACTTTCCAAATGTAGTTATCGAAGGTGTTCTCCATGGATTGTTTTATCCTCACCTACAACCCAGGTAGAAAATGGGTTTGGATGGATATAAATTCATGCAATCCCTCTTCCTTGATCTAGGCTTTTAGTGAAACGCAAAACAATGGAACATGACAAGTTTTTAAATTAATTCAGTGTTATCACTAACATTGCTGCTTTAAAAATTATGAACAGAGAAAATGCTATTCTGTTGGATCTGTTTACTATACTGAAATATTTAAACTAATAGCTGACATTCATTTTCTGAATTACACTAACATTATGTACTTGATTTTTTGTAATGAGTAATTACACACCAGCCTTTCACTTTAGTATCCACTGCTGGCAGTAGATACACAGGACATTCTAACCCATGTGAAATTGAAAAATGCAAATGTTAAGGAAATCACTGCCAAAACTGAAAATGTAACATATGCTTATTGTATCAATATTTCTGATGTGATGTCGTATCATATTCACATTCTTCGAGATGGAGAGAAATGTTTGAAATATGCTTGAAGTTGGGCTCAAATGTAGCTTTAATTTCCCTTCAGAACCTTGCCACAATCCTTGTGCTTCCAGACAACACTACACTTGCATACTTTCCCATGTTAATTAATCCATACCTCCATGTAAAAAAGAGGACTGATTAGTAACAGTAATCAGCTAATCAGTGTTCACAGGTCAACTGGCTAAATGAACATATGCATACATTTTGCAAGATGTTAGAATCCAAAATAAAAACATTAGCATTACATACAGTTGTTTGTGTCCTGTTTGTATTAATTTATAGTCAAACTGCAGCCTTTCCAGTGGAATTCTTTTGTCCATTTATGCAAGTCTGTTAATCAAAATCTTTACATTACGTTGTCATTATTGCCTGGATGATATGAGTTATCAGGTAAGATTCTGATGTGGCTATTTTTTCATGTCAAAGTTACAGACAAAAATCAAGCCATGAAGAGGCTGCAATGTAAATTATATGAAATAGTAAGACATGTCCTTATGTCATATTAAGCTGGTTCTGCATTCTATTTACTGCATGGGCTTTACAGACAAAGATCAGTAAACACATTTTACCATTTTTCATGAAGTGTTCCAATGAATTAAGTTATGCTGGAGGGTATGGCTCTCCAATCTAATTCAGTCTTTTGGTTAAAAGAGGTTCTCTACCTCTCTGAGTAGGTAACTCCCTGACAGCTCCAGAATTGGAAGATTTATTTTCATGAAAGATGGCTAAATGGCCACTTACTAGCTTCCCTTTTACAACTACATACCGAATCAGCTTGCACATCCTACTATCTGCTCTAAGACCTAGCTTAACTAGTTATGACTATACCAGGCCCAGCAAATTAATAGACTTTTGCATCTATATAAGTGAGCTGATTAGGACTATTTGCAACTGATGCATCACAAAACATGCAATAACTTTTAGAAAGAAATCATTTCTTTTAGCCAGTTTAATGTTTATATATCATTGCATATTAGTGAGTAAACAAGTTACATAATGTATTTTTAACAATAATATTTTAACAGGTTGCAACTGAAACTTTATGTGGCATAGTAAATAAGTATGTTCATAATGTTTGCAAGGAAATGTATTTGGAGTTAAGATGGACTCACTTTAATAAAGGGTGTTCATGTCAATTTCATTTGAAAGAGAACTTTCTGGGGAAAGTTGCTGGTGCTGTATCATGTGTCTAAAGTGGAGATAGTATTTCTTTTTCCACTGGCATGTTCTTAAAATTAAAAAAGCAGCACTTCAAGTGACTTTGCAGGTCCTGGTTGAATAAGAATCAATTTCTCAGTGAAAATGACCACTCTATCATGTTTCCAGTAAGCAGGCATTTTATAAGTATCTTAACTGCCGCTTTAGAAACATATAGTGAGGTGAAACCCTGATGGGTGACCAACAAGTGAGGAGCAGCTGTTAATGGTATCATATGTAACTCATAGAACAGGAAAACTAGCTATTTTTCAACTACTTAAATCAATACATATTTAATGTTTTTTGTTGTTGTGCTGCTTTTCATAAAACTATCACTCCCAAGGGAAGGCAGCACACGTAGTCTTCAGTGCCTCTTGATTTAATATCCTCTTGATTTATATTACCTGTGCGCTTGCTGAATTGCCTTCCAAAAGCATTGCATAACCACTGCAGTTCTTTTGCTCGTGTTGCTGTCAACTTATCCAGTCATCTACTTCAACCACAAAGGGTTCTTTTACATCTATTTTTCCACTGTTAACAATCACACAGTCTTGAAGAGGTCGGTCATGGTCATCAGTTGGTTGAAGTTCTATATTGTGCACTACTGACTAAAGAGAGAGAGAGAGAGAGCGCACCTTTTTATGAAAAGAAAAACTAGATATCAAATACACAATGGAAAACATCAGCTGAAGTCTATGGGATTGGGATTTGTTTCTCAGCACCCCCAGTATGCTCTCCTTTCTTCCACATTTTCATCTTGCCACACCACAAAAATGGAAGACCAAGGGTCTTTCTGTGCTTCTGAGGAATTCTAGCAAACATTTGGTACAAGAAGAACTGGGGAGAACATTCCTTAATTCGAAGCGGTCTGTGTGGAATAGCTACCCCAAGTGAACCCATCAGCTCTGTGTGTTACCCTTAGATCAGAGAGAGGGAACAACATTTGAATGAAGATGCCTTGTGTCAATCTGGCTTGGTCGTTGCCTCACCTGGTGTCCTCCAAACATTCCAAACTTCAACTGGTATCAGCCCTAACCAGCATGGCTAATGGCGGGAATCTGGAGCTTGTAGTCCATCATACCCAGGTAGCACCAGGTTGTGGAAACCTGGTCAGTACTGACTAGCAGTAGGAATGCAAGAACTGCTTCATCTCAGGTACTAAGAATGGCCACTGTTATCCCTGGAAGAATGCTGCTGAATTCTTCTGCCAGAAAAACCTGGAGTAGATTTCTGGGAGAAGGCATTTCCCCTACTGAGCCAGCACACTCAGCAATAAACTTCTACTACTGTCACTAGTTTTGCCATGTGTCTCCTGTTGCTTGCTCTTGCTTGGGGTCAGCTCCATGTGTGCCCCTTTCTGTTATTCATCACTTTGGCAGAGTTAAACCCCCTCTTTTCCTCTATAGTGGGTGCATTTTGGCTGAAAACCAGCTCTCTGCCCACCTCCACCACTCCAATATACCTAAGAGAAAACTAAAGCTTTACAACAGGGTGGGCAACAAGCAGCCCATGAGCTTCATGTAGCTCCCTCTGCCACCATCCCCTCTCCCATTAGATGATGATGATGGAGAAATTAAGTGTCTGCAAGGAACAAGTTAACTGGTCCTTTTGGACACTCTGTAATACTAAGAATGCCAATTTTCGCTTAAACTTTTTTTAAAAATATTGTCAGAATGTAAATGTAACATGCATGGAAATTCCCAACATTGCCCAGTCCAGCTTTTAAATATTATCATTATTACTACTGTTGTTTTTACACTAATTAACACCCCACCATTCTCCTTCTTGCAAGGAACCCAAGGTGGCTTACAAGGTTCTCCTATTTTAGCTTCACATCAACATGAACCTTGTGCAGTAGGGTGAGAGTACATGAGTCACCCAGTGAGTTCCATGGTTTAGTGAGAACTAGAACACATTTGCTAGCGTGTTCCTGAGTCCCAGTCCACCGCTCCAGCTACTACACCACACCGGCTGTACAGTAATTCAGTCCAGCCACTGCTTTATCTTGCCTGGGGCTGCTTTTGAGGCAAACCCACGCATAGTTGCGCAAGGAAGGGGGAAAACCTGAAGTGGGCATCTACAGGGGAAAGCACTGCATTTCTTGGCTTTTATCCAGGGAATCCTCAGCCACACCCAAAAGCAAAGGAAGCCCTGTGCTGGCTTGGTAGCAAAAACAGAGGCTGCTTTAGGCAAGTTGGAGAGTTGAGAGGAAAAATATTCAGCCTCTATAGAAGTAGCCTTATAGAAATCTGAAAGCAAGCAAGGAGACCTATTTTAGAATGTACACAACACTCTAACAATGCTTTCGGGGAAGACTACATTTAAAAAACACACACAATAAAACACAAATTACTGTTCCAGAAACCATAGCAGCAACTGAAGGCAATCAAAACTTTGAATTCTGAAAGCATACAAACTTCTTTGCTTGGTGCTGAAAACAATGTGTGTTCAATGTGTGTTCCAGTTGTGTGTCCCTAAGTCATGGTACCACCATCAGAAAAGGCACTTTCTGTAGTAACCTTGCATTAAAATGACTCCAGTGCACAGACAGGCTGAAAGAAGCAGCTTCATTCCTTAAGTACCCAGGGCCCATACCATATAAAGCTTTAAAAGTAAGCACTAGCACTTGTACTCAGCAATGAGTCAGGGAAGTTGTCCAAATCCCAGCGAGATATTCCCAGGCAATAACCTGCCAGCTGTATTTTGTACCAGTTGCAGAGTAGGAGTCTTCAAAAGCAGTATCATGAACATCACATTACAAGAGTTGATTCTGGAGGTAACCTGCATATGGATAAGCTGCCTCCTGTCTGGATTAATGTCTTTCACCTCTTCTGTAATTGGTATACATACATCTTAATTAAGAATTTGTAAAGATAACAAAGGTTTATACTGCAGGTACAACACACCAGACCTGAACATAGTGCTTTTAAAATGACAACATGGTCAAAGCCATTTTCCACCAATGTACAAAACCAATAAAGCTTTTAACCTACCATTCCATCAATGACTTTTCCAAATACTACATGCTTTCCATCTAACCAGCCGGGCCTTGTCACAGCAATGAAGAATTGGGAACCATTAGTATGTGGACCAGAATTAGCCATACTGACCCATCCAATACCATAGTGCTTTAGTTTAAAGTTTTCATCAGGAAACCTATTTCCATAGATGCTCATCCCTGGGAAACAAGACAATAGGCTTAGATGAAGCTACCAGAAAAGGCAAGATAAATTTGTTTAGAATTTTTTAAACTGTAAGGCAATACCTGAACTAGCAGGGTTCTCTAAACAGTCCCTTCCATCAAGGCAGATATAACTTTCTAGAAGGCTGCTGTATTAGCCACTGGGGCTGCTGAACCTCAGGCCTGTGAGTCAAATACAGCCCTCCAGTTTCCAGATGGCTACAGCCCTTTCTTCTGATGGCTGATCCTTCAGTCATTTCCTGGTTTTTGTGTGGTTGGTTTTTCACCTCGTAGAAGGTTGAAATACCTCTCCTGAGGTTTGTTTACTGATAGGAAATTTAAGCTAAAATATTAAGCTATTGCTCTCTTTGGCTTCATCCATCAATGGAATGTAGTCCCTGCAAACTTCTCCGTTCACTGAATTCTTCTAGGTTGAAAGAGGTTCAATACCTAGTTTAAGCTGTGTGGCAATTGGAGGAATCTCAGAAGTGAGTGCTTACTAAGTACTGGCCCCCAACATTTTACTGTCTTCACTTTGGCTGAACTCCATAAACTACTTCTACCAAATCTGGGAGGACTGGGTGACTGAGTTTGCATCATATGCATTATGGCAAAGGAAAAAAAGCAGTCAAGATCTTTATAATGATAACTTAGAAGATAGTTCCAAAATATTTAGGCAAAAAGTACACATTTTCATAGGTTGATTTAATATCACTGGCCAACAGATGGAAGCAGGATGGATTCAGCTTTCACATGCTTCCTCAATTGTTCCTTGCAATACTGGATTCAAGAATGCTGTATTCAAATAAGGTTCTTTCTTGCAAACTACTTTGATTTAGCCTTTAAACTTTCCTAAAGAATGCCTTATCATATTTGCTGAATCAGAGCAACAGAGATACTTCATTTAGCATTTTTAGGGCTTTAGATTCAATATCTTGATTATGATGAATGTAGATCTGTGCTAAGTAACAAGAAGCCGTATGGATAGAATTCACTGGGCTTACTGTCAGGTACATGTAGGTACGACTGATGCAATGGGTCAAAGGAAAAACACGTGGAATAAGCTGGACATTGTTTGGGGGAGAAAAGGGAGAACTACTTATCTAAAGGTTACCACAGTACTACTGTGATGTCTCTTGTATCTAAACTAGTTGTGTTTTTTTTTTTTTTTTTGCTTAAATATGGTATTAAAAATTTAGGCTGCAATCCTATAAACACTTACTTGGTAGTAAACCCCATTGAATTCCATAGGATTTACTTCCCAGCAGACAGGCACAGAATTGCACAGTCAGGAGTCTTTTAAAAACACCATGTGCTGTGTGGTAAATTTGTGTTTCATCTTGGTCGGAAATTCCTGAAGTTTAACTTTCAGTTTTCAGATTGGTATGTTTAAAGAGATAAAGGAATTAACAACCAGCTGAGTCAGGGAGATGATTATTGCTTCCTTGTAAGAGGGAGTAGTCTTCTCCCTCTTGAAAGAGAAGGAGGTAAGACCACGTCTGAAAGAATCCTCTCTTGACCCAAAAGGCGTTTAGGATTTCAGGCCAAGAGCAAATATTCCTTCCCTGGGCAAGGTTTTTGAGTGGGTGGTTGTCAGCCAACTTCAGGCACTTCTGGATGAGACTGATTAACTGGTTTCATTTAGGCCTGGGTTTGGCATGAAAGCCCCAGTTTCAGTCGGGGTTTAGGCCTGGGTTTGGCATGAAAACAGCTTGGGTTGCCCTGTTTGATAACCTATGCCAAGGTAGAGACTGGGGAAGTGTGACCCTGTTGATAGTCTTGGTCCTCTCAACAGCTTCTGATACCATCAACCAAGTATTTCTGTGGTGACCCTCTTGACTGCAGTGGTTCTGCTCCTACTTGAAGGGCCATCTGATGCTGGTTTTAACCTACAAAGCACAATACTTATCAGAGTGCCTCTCCCCGCTCTCCCAACTGCAATCTACCTGAACACTATGCTCTACATCTGAGGCCATCCTGTGAGAGCCACCCGTGAAGGAGGATTGGAGGGTGCTAATAAGGAAGAGGGCTTTATCTGTAGTGACTCCCAGGTATAGAATGACCTCACTGAGGCCAGCCTGGCACAAACCGTGTCATCTTTTCAGCACCAAATTAAGATGGCCCCTTCTGGGAAGGCTTTCGAAGATATATTTGTTTATCTGGGAGCTTTACAGTATAGCGGGGCCATTCTTCCTTCTCATGATTTTAAGCTGTTCTTAATTTTTTAACTTTCTTTCGATAAGATTCTATGTTTTATAGTATTTTATTGTACTGTTTTTATTCATTGTTGTAAACCACCAAGAGAACTTTAGCTATGGGGAAGTATAGAAATGAAATGAACTAAATAATAGTTATATGGAGCCCACTATGTTAATTTGACCCAAGGCTCATCAGCTTGACTGCAGTTATGTTTTTACATTTTATGGATGAAATTCATAAAGAGTTACCTCCAGTGCCATCTCCAGCTGTGAAGTCACCTCCCTGAATCATGAAATCTTTGATTACACGATGAAATTTGCTTCCTTTGTAGCCAAAACCTTTCTAAGGGAGAAAAGTTAGAATGACACAATTGAAATTTAGTAAGGTATTACACACAATATAGTCAAAACACACTCATATGATTAAATGTTTCACAGAATGTATAAACCTTATCCTATGTATCCTCACTTAATCTCAAAGGCATTTATTTCCAGGTTAAGTCATTGCATGGTTAAGAACTACACAACTGTGTATAAAGGTTATATATTCCAGTAGTGAGATGAAACAGCAATACCTTGTCAAGCAAATTTACTTTTGGCAACACTGGGTCCTGCCTTTGTCATACTGCTTTAACAATGAATTACAAGTTCCAAGATGCAATTTCTAATGGACAGCATTTAGATGATTTTTTATGCTGCCATGTACAGACCCTATGGAAAATGTTCTCTTAAATTTCTTACATTGCTAAATCTATTTGTTTTAATGTTTCCATTTGAACAAACTCTATGCAGCCACAAATAGGCCCTGTATACTGAATAAAAGAAGCAGATGGGAAGATTTTCTCATCTAAGATATGTACAGAAAGTGAAGAAACTACTAGAGCAGCATTCCACAAATTTTGGCCAGTTTTGATTGCCAAGCCAACATGTGTACACTCTAGGCCATGGCCACTTCCCTTATCCCTGGCTCTCTCCTGGCCTCCCCTCCCCATCTCCAAGTTTTGAGCTGGCAAGGTGGGCTAGAGATTATCCCCACGGTTCAGGATTCTGAGCTTAGCACAAACGTGTGGTGCAATAGCTGTGCTGGCCTGGGAACCTGGAAAATGGCTAGTCACTCACTCTCAGCTTAACCTACCTAGCAGGATAAAACAGAGTGGAAGAGGACTATGTCAGCCACCTTGGGTTCCTCACAAGAGGAAAAAAGGCAGGACGTAAATGCCGTGTAGTAACAATAATGATCTGCCACTCCATCTCCCAAGTCAGAGGTCGAGAGGAGCTGTTGTGTGACACTAGCCTGCTGGGACAATGACTGCTTCAGCATCTTAGTGCACAAATGTTCAAGCCTAGCTTCTCCCAAAGCAGGCTTGAGCTTGTTTTGTTTCTTGATTTCAAAGGAATACAAGTCCTTCCGCATTCAGTAGTGTAACAGCCAGCTTCTACTGTCACCTCCAGAAAACTGGTACTGGATAGGAAAGTACTCTAAAGCAGCCTGTCCTAAGTATTTCTGAGCACACGGCAATTGAGGATAATCCCCATCCCAGCTTCAAACTTGAAGAGGACTGGTCCTTCAGTCACCTTGACTAGAAGACAATGGGTTGCTGCTAGCCAGGTAAGGGTGACAGTCAGAACTGCTCACAGCTGCATCAGATAAACAGATGGTGAGTTGTAAAAAGAGAATTACATATGCCTGTCTTTTCACTAACGTGTGAATGCAACATTTTTAAAGCCCTTACTTCTCCAGTTGCAAGTTTAACGAAGTTTTCTACAGTCTTTGGTACTACTTTTCCAAACAGGCCAATTACAATTCTGCCAGCATCTTGACCACCAATCTGTATATCAAAGAATACCTGGAAATTTTCAGAAATAAAAGTAAATCATTACAAATATGATAACACATGATTAAGTGAAAACAGTTTTTAAAAACAGTTGGAATCCAAAAGTGTCCTTTCATTCATGGAAAGAGGCTTCTTTTGAATACAAGATTCCTTGATCTAATTGAGGGTTCCATGATTTTAAAGAGAGGAAGGCAACCTTTGCTAATTTCCTTGTCCCGCAGCAGCCATTGTATCACCTGCCATGTTATTTTCCCAATCCTCAGGATCACATTTACAAGGAGGGACTGGAAAGAATGACTTTCCTCCTCCTAATCACGGCTGCTTCTGCCTTATTTTCAAGGGATATAATACACAATGAAACTATGCTGAATCAGAAATACACCTATACACATGAGACCTACATTGCATTGTCTCTCTTCTCCTAAAAGGTTTAATCCTGTTGAGGGTCTGAGTCATTTTGACTTCCTCAACTATACATAAACAACAGAGAACTCGAGCAGACAATTCCACTCCCCTCTTTTACTGCTTTTCAGCATTCCACTTTTTGTAGTCTGTGAATGAACAAACTGGCTATTTTCTTTTGTGGGGATACTAAAGTGGAAAGGTTAACAATATTTTTCACTTCTGCAAAACTCAAGGTTTTATCAAGGATTCGGACATGTTCCTCTTGTTACTCCAAGGCCATGTTTTAGCTCCATTCTTTCAGCACTCAACTAGTCACATCTGCTGTTAGAAGGCATGATACTGATGACAATTTTAAACTATGAAATGCATATGACTTTTTGCTGGGCACACATGAATAATGTTTTCAGTAGGAGTACAAGTTTAGGCCAGCAATCCCCATGATTGTTTATTATTATTAAACATTGAAATTAGACTATTTAAGTAAATTTTCACAGATAGACTGATGTATACTGGCTCATTTCTGGAATTTGAACATGTTTATTTTTTGTTGAGAGCCAGTCACCCATGCATACACACCATGGCACTAAAAAAAGTTCATAAGATTCACACATGCCATTAGCAATTAAAACACAAAGAAAGAACAGTATGTGGCATATTTTCCTCACATCTAGTTTGGCCCTAAGACACATGGCTGTATGCTTCCACTCATGTACATCCCACTATTTTATCTTAATCATTTCTCTAAGTTCAGTAAACCTCATTTTTCCTTTCTTCCACTTTTATCTGACCCAGCTATTTTACCTATTTCATCATTAAAACTGTTAACAATGCAGCAATATATTATGTAATAAAGCATAATAGAGCATTTCAGTGGTGTGATTATCCTGTGATAGCAATGACATATTCCACCATGCCAAATACTTCCCTTTAATGGAATTGATTCTACACATTTCTGAGATTTTTAAAAAATATATAAAATTATGCACAGATCTGAATACATGTCTCAATGACTGTTGATTGCCTTGAAAGCAAAACACAGAGGAATATTAAATTGAGATGAATGTTCTTAGTTAATTGATATCAGAAGGTCAATTGTTTAAGGCCATGAATTTTACCAGGCTGATCTCATAGTACCTGTTCTCCAAAGCAACTTCTTCAAAAATAGAAGATGTCAGGAGAACAGAACACAAAGGAGAGGTGGCAAAGCAATGAGATGATCCAGCTTTCAGACAAAAAACTTCTTCCAGAAAAAGGGGTCAGAGGTAGAAGCCCCTGAGCTCACAAGCACAGATGGTTAAATACTACCAAATTGATTGCATATGCTAAAAAACAGACATAAACATTAAGTTATATTAGAAGGAAACATAAATATATCCATTAATCTTTTCATGCTTTTTTCTTAAATGGCTATTTAAAGGAAAAATCTGGGTTACTCATCAATTGGTACAGATCAGATGCCTGCTGAAAGTTGCCATTTATTATAACAACTACTTTATGGGAATTAAAAGCCCTCTTAAGGTCTGCAGCTTGTCAAATGCTAGAAGACATTACTTTCTTTCATTCTTACTAAACTAGCCAAGGAACAGTTATTTAAAGTATTCTATATGAAATCCAAAATACGTTCCAGTTGCCAAGTGTAAACATCCATAGGTATAAGACATGCACATATACAGAATCAATTCTCTCTCTCTCTCTCTCTCTCTCTCTCTCTCTCTCTCTCTCTCTCTCTCTACCATCTAGTCTGATCCCCAGCATAAACTGTCTTCACTCATATAATGTCTAACATGTGGGTGTCTAATCTTTCCTTGAACACCCTCATTGATGGGGCCTCCACCACCTCCTGTGGAAGCTCATTCCATATCCTAGGGGTCCTAACTGTCAGGAAGTACTTCCTAACATCTAACCTAAAACTACGTTCCTTTAGTTTTGACCCACTGGATCACATCCTTCCCTCCACCACAGGAGAGAACAGGGAACAACCCTCTACTATGTCACACCCCTTCACATACCTGCAGATCACTATAAGATCCTTTCAGAGTCTCCTCTTCTTCAAGCTGAAAAGTAGCAGTTCCCTCAATCTCGTTCCATACTGCAATCCACTCCGGCTACCATTCTTGTGATCCTGCACTGAACTGCCTTGCTATGTCCCTCTTGCAATGTGGAGCCCAGAACTGGACACAATACTCCATAGAGCAGCACCAGCACTTCTCTTGATCTGGAAGCCACACCTCTGGCTATACAGCCAAGGGTGGTGTTCGCCCTCTTAACCACCACATCCCACTGCTGGCTCATGTTTAGCCTGCTGTCAACAAGTACCTGAGATTCCTTTCACAAGTGCCACTCTCTAGCCACTTGTCCCCCCTGGAGCTCATCCATTTCTCAACCAGGGTATCATGTGGGGCCTTGTCAAAGGTCCTGCCAAAACCAAGGAAAACCGCATTCACCATGTCCGCCAAATCTAGCCATCTTTAAACCTTGTCATAGAACTCCACAAGGTTTTTCTGGCAGGACCAATTTTTGTGGAAGCCATGTTGTGTGGCTGCCAACCTCCCTGCCCGATCCAGGGTTTCTATGAACTTTTCCATCATCTTTCCCAGAATGGACATAAGGCTAACTGGTGTGTAATTCTCCTTGTCTCTTCTGCTACACTTTTTGAAGATTGGGAACACTTACGCCACCTTCCAATCCTCCAGAACGTCTCCTGTTTTCCACACAGCCTCCAAAATTGAGGCCAATGAATACTAGAGTACCCCTGCTAATTCCTGAGGTACCCTTGGGTGTAACCTGTCAGTACCCGGCACCTTTGTAACATCCAAGGCCATGAGGAGCTCCTCAATTTCTAGGAGAGTGACTCTAATCTGTGCTCCTATAACCCCAACTTCATTTGCCCTCCCAGGCACATCTCCCCCAATCTGCTTTGGGGAGAATACAGTAGCAAAATAATCATTTAACATCTGTGCCTGTTCCCTTATATCAGGTACCAGATCCCCTCTTTTAAGCAGCCCCACTGCCTGTCTCCTTGTCTTACTATTTACATAAGAATAGAAGCCTTTTTTCTTGCCCGTAACATTATTTGCAAGCTCAGCTCATAATCAGCTTTAGCCTTGCAGAGTCCTTCTGCATCAAGCCACTTCCTCCTACGATGCCTTTTTGTGCACATGCTACAATGTCCACTTCCTGTGGAGGTCTCTTTTACTTCTAATCAGTCTTACCGCCTCTCTTTGCAATATAGCTATATCACTTAATATAATAAAATCATGAAGCATTTAATGCTAAAATACATCCGATATGAAATAATAAATCAAGAAAGGTACAATAGGTACAATAAATAAGACAATGCAATGTCATTGTCCATTACAAGGCTGGGATACCTGATGTCACCAAATGGGTTTTCAGAAGAAGTTTCAAAGTCACCAGTTTCTGCCTTTCAAACAGCACATTGTGGAGCATTATAAGTGGGAGCCACTAGCAAGAAGTCCAGCTTCCATGTTATTACATGGTTACCTTGTTTGTCACAGAATGACCCATAAGGTTTCCACTGAAGATCTCAAGGGCCCACGGGTGTACATAGCAGAAAGCAGTCAAACAATGCAGAATATGTTGGTCTTTTTGGCATCTTATTTTATTTTATTATAGCATAGTTTTATTTCAGCCCAAGGCTCCATACAATCCAAGAATAGTTTCTCATGTGTTCAGTATGCTTCAAGTGTTCCCCTCTTCACCACTTAAGTATTAATTGCCCAGGGCAAATATTTCAGGATTTAGTAAAGGTAGAAGATAACCATCTCCTAACCCCCAACATTATCTTTTTAAAGTGGAAGGCCTTCATCCATCTGAAGTGGATACACCTGCACAAGATTTTTCCATACTTCCTGTTTTTAGACCTACATGTGAAAACATTCTTGGAAGCAAATCAGTAACAGATTACAAGGTATGTGCATCTTCTTCCTTAACATAGCATCTAGAGGTGTGGAGGCAAAGTTTTTCACTCATTATTTCCTGCTAGCTATCCTTAAGCTTTTCAAGAAGATTTTATTGAAGAATAACCACTGTCATCTATGGTATGTCCTTAGGGGCTTGGTACAAGTTCCAATTAAGTCACACATGTACACCCAAAAAGTAGTCAGAGCTGCTGCTTAACTATGCCAGAGGACATTTTAACAGGGAATAACCATGGTTCAGTAGTAGAATGGATGTTTTGCATGCACAAGGTCTCTGGTTCAATCTCCAGCACTTCCAGGTAGGACTGGAAAAATTCTACTTGAAATTCTAGAAAGTCACAGCCTCAGTGTTTGTAATACTGGATTAGATGCACCAGATTAGATGGCACAATCTGAATTGGTGTAAAGTGGCTTCCTGTGTTCCAGTTTTACATTTACCTTCAATTTTTATCTTCATTCATTTCCAACAACTTCCCAGGGTATATTCTATGAATCTTAACAAACCCCCACCCCTAGAACTGATATGACCTAGGTAGAAAGAGCCTTTGCACCTTTTCCCACAGGCCTTTCTGAATATAGTTGTAGGCTCATGTTCCTCTTGACACTCTCCTAGAATATCAAGGAGAGCATCAAGAGGAAGCCATTACATATATAAATGATGGGAGGGAATCAAGCAGATTGTATCCTTCCTGCAACCAGCTATGGTGGTTGTTAATCAAGATCCCTCCCCAAACAATGAAGTTACAAAACTCCATTTAGCTGTTATTTTACTGCAGCAAAAATAAGGACTAACAAATTCATTGTGGCAGAAGTTTTCACAGAAGATGGCCCACTTAGGAAGTCCATGAAAGTAATTTGTCAGGACACAATCCTAGGCATGCATGAACAGAAAAAAAGTCCTACAACTCCCAGTATGTCCCATCTAGCCATGCTGGCTGGGGCATGCTAGGATCTTTATTTGCCTAAACATGGGTAGCATTGCTTTGTGGCTTTTGCCCCCTTTAATCAGCCAGGCGAGCAAGCGCACCGACAGTTCACACACAGGGACGGCAACCAACATTTTTCTGGCAGAGCTCCGCGGCAACGACAGCCAGCAAGATGCCAAGAGATGCAGTTCCAACACGCTCAGTCTCCTGAGTGGAATTTTGGTCTGTCGGGTAGCCCAGTCAGGAAAAAGGAAGAAGCCCTCCCACCTCCATGCTGCCTCCCATCAGCTCTGGCCAGAAAAGGCCTAGGAGAAGGTGGGAGATCCTCCCGCGTCACCGAAATACCGAGCTACCCGAGGAGAAAGTTTCGCCCTCAGCATACAAGCGGGGGGGGGGGGCGCTGCTCCAGCTCTCAGAGCGGAGCGGGACTCCTCCAGCGCCTCGCAGCGTCGCTCCCGGCGGCGCGACGCTGATAGTCACCTTGTCGGTCACGGTGGGTCCTCTCTTCCTGAAGCCCTCCCCCCCGGGGAAGCTCCCGCAAAGGCATAAGAGGAGGCCCAGGAGCGCGAGCGGCCCGTGCGAGCGCGCTGCGGGAGAGCTCATCCCGTCCTCCGTCGGCTTGCAAGGGGACGCGCGAGGCGCCTGCGCGGCTCTCCCGGCCCGGCAGCCCCTCCCGGCTGACACTGTGGCAGGAAGCGGCGCCGCGCGGGGGGGACGTAGGGGGCTGCTCTGGGATGGGCGGGCAGCGGCAGGGCTGCGCTTGTCGGGAAGCGGGCCCGGGGGCTCTTTCGGGCCGCGGTGTTTTCCGAAGGGGAGACGCGGAGCGGGGGGGTCTCGCTTTAGCCCCAGCCAGCCACGCGTCTGGCCTCGAAAGAAGCGCTCGCCGCGGCGCAGGGCGGGACGGGACGAGGCAGGAGCAGCCTAGAAGAGCTGAGAGGGATTAGGGGCGGCTCTCTGGCTCCTTATAGACGAAGCCCAGCTGTCTAATCACTTTTCTTGCAAGCACTTGTACGTTGTATGTCTTGGGCGCTTCTGCTCTAAAGCAAGAACTGTACTAAGAAATAGCGTGCTAAGAACATCAAAGTTGATTTGGATGAAATCGGAGGCCTTTTTAATGCAATATTCTCCTGTACCTAGCTAAATATTCATCAAACGCTGCAAGTAGAGCACTAGTGCGACAGCAACCTCATATTTTTAGCACTCTTCTGTTCACCATCTTCCTTGCCTGCTTACCTCTTACCCTCCTTCAGAAGGGCCTCCAAACCCGATATTAGGGGTTGGGCGGGTGCAGATGGAAGTGGACGGTCCCAAACCAGTTAGGACTCTGTATGTTAAAACAAGCACCTTAAATTAGGTCCAGAGCTGAACTGGTAACCTATGAACTTGGTAAGGTATTGAAATGATGTAGGCACGCAGTCGTGCCACCCTCCCACTTATGTACCAGTTGAAGTTTCCAGGCCATTTTCAAGCCCAAGACTACTGTAAAGTGTGTTACAATAGTCCAGTCAAGAGGTCGCCAAAGTGTGGGCGATTGAGGCAAGGCAGGGCTGAAGTTGGTAAATGAATCGTAGCTGAGAGAACGTGCTCCTGGAATTGCACCCACCAAGGGACATGCCTTTGAGCCAACGTTTCATTGAGCTATCTAGCACAATCCCATGATCTGTTTGGGTTTTTTTTTTTTGGTCAGTCGCTGCCAGTTCAGACCCCATCAGCATGTATGTGAAGTGTTTGTTCTTTCTTGAATACTTTATTGAGGATGGTGCTGTTATGGAGTGAAAACCACACTGTAGGGTGCTTACCTAATATTCAGGTGAAATAGTCAGAATCTGTTAACATGACATTGTGAACAAGTGTTGTATCTAGGGAGAAATGCATATGTTCAGGCAGTGGACATGGATGGGTGAGGCCATGGTTCACTGGATCTAAAGACCACATGGCCCCCATGCCTGGCCCCAGTGCAGAAAGCATGTTCAGTGGGCTCAGAAGCCGGCCTAACAAGAAATGCTTTGAAGCAGGATAAAGAGGCCAAACCCCCCCCCCCTTAGTATAAGAATTTTTTTACAGATACATATATATATATATAGAAAAAATATATAGGAAAAAATGGACAAGAATTATAATGGAAAATGTTGGAAATGTAAAAAAGTAGATGTGACTTTCTATCATATGTGATGGACTTGTGATAAAATTAAAAGATTTTGGAAACTAACACATGCATAAATACTTTAAAATTAACTTTCCCATGAGTCCTAAGAATATGCTTTTGAATATAATGCCAGAGACTTTGTCATAATATATCACAACTGCAATAATATATGACAACTGCAGCAAGAATTAGAATTGCTTCTAAATGGAAAACAATAGACTGTACAACAATTGAAGATTGGAAAAACAAGTTGGCTGGGTTTGCAGTGATGGCAAAATTAATTGTGTAAATAGTAGACTGCTTGAAGAATTTAATGATAAATGGAAATTCTATTATATGCAGTTTAATTAAGAGAACAAAAGCAAGCTAGTAAAATATTGTTGATGATTTTTAATTGATTCAAAGTTATTGGAAAATTTGTTGGTTTAGAGAACAGTAATTATCTTTTTTGTGAGCCTCATCAAAGTACTAATTGACAGAAAGATAGAAATTTTTGGCGTTTTGGGGAATTTGCAGATTGTGAATGTATTATGTTTGTGAAAGATCCATTGGTTTTCTTATTTTTCTTTTACATTTTTTCCTTTCCGTACTTCATTTTTTTAAGAGAAGAATTTTTTAAAAAATTAAAAAGCGACAAAAACCTTCCATCACTCCTACTTGCTGACGAGCCCTAGCCTGTAGAATGGCAACTTAAACTGCTGCAATATTGACATGTATAGGATTGTGCCCTTAGCATGAAGCTACACTGACAGAATAGGAACAATGAGCGATGTACAGATTGTTTAAGTTTACTATGTTGTGATAATTATTATATTTGTTCATGATGCCACTTGTCATACCTTGGCACAGGTCAAGACCATGGTAAATATTTGCTTCACACTTTACAGAAGAGACAGGGTATCCACAAATTGAGAAATTATAATTAAAGCAAATTTAACTGTTAACTTGTAGGGCTGTAGGTCAGCAGTAGAGTATCTGTTCTACATACAGAAGGTCTTGGAGCCAACCTCTAAAATATCCAAGTAGGGCTAGAAAAACTCTGCCTGGAATCCTGGAGAACTACTGCCTGTCAGTGTCAACAGCACTGGACTAGATACAGCAGTGGTCTGACCTGGGATACAGCCACTTCCTATATTCCTATCACCAGTCTACTGTGTCATATGTGGCTCTCGGATACAGATTTGTGTATGATAGATTTTTCTGTGAATTCCTTAGCTTTATGGTCCTGAGAAACTCATTTCTTTTTTGGTCATAGGTCAATTTCCTTGAGTGTATGTTTCTAAGAAATTGCACAGTTGTTAGACATCTAGTGTTTGTCCTTAGAGGTTTTAATGAGCAGCAGAGCTACAATAAGTGAATATTTTCTATTTAAGGCTATTTTGGGCTAAACTGCAAAGTAGCATCCCATACTCTTGCTTTAATGCCTTAGTGTTAAGTGGAAGACATAAGCAAAATCACTGAAAATGCATGGGCAATGTGGTTTAATAAGACAACTTAGCAAAATGACTTTTCTGGGTCGCTTAGACCTTAGGATCATCATATTTGCAATGTAAACTAGATGTTATATTTCCTATATAACACTACAGTTATATTGTTTAGACGTAGTGAATATACTGAATAAGATTATTCCACATTTGAAAATGTAACATAGTTTGGCTAGTGAAATGGAAACAATTGGAGCAAAACTAATAGTATGTCAGGATGAAGACATCACACATTCTTTAAACTTCCAGTCTTAAATATCTTATAAAAAAGATTTTGAACAGATGCTTTTTTCATTTTATTAATACATGGATTTACAAGGTGAAATTCATCTTAGAATTGTGAAAAAAAAATCTGGATAGACTCTGGATAGTATCAAAAGAAAACTGTATTTGAAAAAACACCAGTATAGTAGACTCTGTTTTAAATTTACTTAGGAAGTGTGTAAACCTTACTAGTTAAATTATCTTTGGAATAATATTAATTTAAATGTTATATAAAAGGAAAAGCCGTAAAGATGGAAAAATACATGATGCTACTAACTGATAGTGACACTCATTCAACTCTAACTCTCTCTCTTTCTCTCACTCACTCACACACACTTTGAATGAGTAAAATATTTTTATTGTAAGATTATTTTGAGGTTACAAAGAGGCAATTATGTGTATGTTGCCAAGAATTTTCAAATTGCCAGCAGATGTAAGTCAAGAGGAAATAACATCTATTGTTAGTAAGTTCTGTTTCTGAAAGCGCAGGCAGGTTAAATTTTAATTTGCTATAATTGAAGAAGTATCATGTTTGAAGTTTCAAACAATCAGTTAAAAAGAGTTACCAGTATGCATGCACAAAGAGGACTTGCAGTGCAAGGTTTTGCAGCGCGGAACGCTCCTGTTAAGCCCCTAGTTGTGTGTTGTGTCAGAATGTTCCTCTCCATTCTACCACCTGCAAGCACCTCCACTGAACATCTTCAGTCTTTACTGAGCTGAACTGTTTTATTTGCAGAAGATTAGCTTCATTGCCCCCCACCATTTATTTTCTATTTTTGAAAATGTTGGGATTCCTCCAAGTACCATTTTTTCTTCAGTAATCCCATTTCATTTTATTTATTACACTTGTATGCTGCCCCATAGCCCAGAGGCTCTCTGAGAAACTCACAATAACGGCCAAAACAATCAGCATAAAACTATAAAGCAAGTTTACACTATCAAATGCAATAACTAGCATAAAACTAGCTAGCAAATAACTAGCATGATTATTTTTTCTTCATTGCTCCCCTTCCCAGTCTCAGTCTTCTAATTTCTTGGCTGCAGTCTCCCTCTGAATTGATGAGTCAACGTATGCCAAATCTTCCACAATTCTCATTTCTTCATTGTTTACGTGAAAGTTACATAATTCTTCTGTAGTTGTGATTTCTGTTTGCCTAATGTCCACCTTCACTTTTGCTCTCCCTTTTCACCTCTTTCACTTTTATCAGGAGTCATTTAAATTCATTGCTGCTTTCTGCCAATAATATAGTATGATCAGCATGATTTCAATTCTTGATCCATGTTCTGCCAATTTTCATTCATTCTACCTCTGGTCCTATTTCCTTTGGACATGTTCTGCATACAGATTGGACAGATTGGGAGATAAATTGCACCATTGTCTGACAAGTTTGCTCATGGGAAACCATTCTGTTTGTCCGTATTCTGTCCTAACACTTGCTTCTTGTATATTATACAGGTTACACATCAGGAAAATCAACACTTGAGCACACCCATCCTTTCAAAGCCTTGAATAACTTCTCTGATCCAGACAATCAGAGGCTTTTCTGTACTATATAAAACATTAAAAGATCTTAGGAAATCCTTTGGTGTGCCCCAGTAGCCTGTGTTTATGTGTGAGATCATGCTCTTTTCCTTTTTGGAGTCCAGTTTGAACATCAGGCATTTCTCACTGCCAAGGCTTACTGTACCCTTTGTTAGCTATCACATTTTGACAGATCTGAACATGCTG